TGTTTATAATAGCCCCTTTTAGTGCTCCAAGTTAGCCACTACGAACGCTTCGGTCGATTTGACTTCCCCTTCCATGCCTTCGCACATAGCCAATATTGTTAGGGTATATTGTCTAGAGCTATCTATTTATACTTGTTTATCTATGGTCTAGAGGGTATTCATGATGACAATTCCACATCAGTGTTGAAGTTTAGTTGTGTTGATTTCTGGTAAGTTATTTATTATACTGTGGGGAAATCAAGCAGGCTAGTCATGATTGTAAAAAAAACAACTGGACTTGTCATTATATTATATATTTTGATATGTTGGGAGTTTATAATTTAATATATTTTCATAATAATTACAACTTCCACAATACATTTTCGTTATTGCCCGTTATTATAATATTTATTAGTAAGTTTTTTATATTTTTAACTTCCCGTACGGTAATTTATAGTAATCGCAATGAAAATTCGAAAATGAAAATTTTTATATATCTTCACGTTTCAAAGGTTTTGGCATACCTTATGAAACAATGGTTGTATGTGTGTGTGTTTTTTTTAACTTCCCGTAGGGTAAGTTATTGCAATCGTCCAAAAATCGAAATTGAAATTTTTTACATTGCTCGACGTTTTGAAGCTTTCTGAAGATTTTGGCATACCTCAGAAAAAATGGATGTGTGTGTGTATGTATGTATGGATACAATTTTTTGTCCACGTTTTCGGGCGCACGGATCTACCGATTTTGAATTGTTCAGAAAACCTACTTTTCCTATTGATAAGGAGATGAGCTGATCAGTTTTTGACAAAGGCAGGTCTACCCGTTTCGGAGATACGGAGCAAAGAGTGCAGAAAATAGAAATCGAGTTTTTGAGAGTTCGGATCATTCGAATTGAATGATCCAAAAAACATTCAATTCGTAATGACGGGGGGAAGTGGTGGTTAGTTTTTCGCAAAGGTCCAGCGGTTTCAAAGATCCAGAGGTAAACGTGCAAAAAATGGCAGTTTTTGAATGAACTAAGCGTCCGATTTGAAAGATTCAAAAAACTTTCTGCTTGTTTTAACAAAATAGTTGCTTTTGGAAAAAAAATTGTTTCAATTTTTTTTTCAAAATTTTTTTTTATTAAAAAATATTTTTTTTGTATATAGAAAATAATTCTGATTTTAATTGTAATTTTGACTTAAGTTCTAATATACTTCAAACAAATATTTTCTATTTTGCAATTCAGTTCATATAAGTCTTATAAATATTAGACAATGTTACAGTATTTATTTTTAATAATCTATTTGAAAACATCTAATATTCCTCGAACATTTTGCTGACATTTTGGAAATGCCTTTATGCATCCCAGCCTGACATATGTATGTGTGTGTGTGTGTGTGTGCGGATACAAATTTTTGTCGACGCGGGAACTCCGATCAACCGATTTTTGTTGATCGGATCAACCTATTTGAATAATTTAAAAAGCATTCGATTCGTATTGATAATGAGACGCGCTGATTAGTTTTTAGCGAAGGCAGGTCTAGCCGTTCCGAAAATACGGGACAAAAAGTGCCTAAAACGGTAATTGTTTTCATGAGAACAGAGTTTCCAATACAAAAAACATTTTACTTGTATTGACAAAATGAACAATTGATTAAATTTTTGCGCAGGCAGGTCTAGTTATGGACTCTTAATAAGCTAAAAAAAATTTCATTTGGCGGTCAAAAATGTTTATTGGACATATGTACATCAAACTATCAGATATTTTATAGAGATTTTAATAATGTGTACACATTTTGTGTAAATTTTTTTTGGGTTTCGAACCAAAATTTCTAATTACGGTACGGAAAGTTCCAGTAATTTGCCTTAAGGCACGATGCCATGCACCCCACTAGCTATATTTTACATCATTGCATTATTCCATGTTGTATGCTTAATTTAAATCATATTTGTGATTTTAAAAGTGACAACTATTCCGGATTCCCAACTAGACAAAGAAATCATTTTTCAGATTCCATATATTTCTGGCTTTTGTTTGACTCGCTATATTGATGATTTAATCACAGGATCACAGGCTTATCCAAAAATATTTTTTTTATATACAATGCAAGAAGGTTGCCAGACAGTGTTTACATTTTGTGTTGAGTTTCAATTTGATCATTCAAATGTTTTTTGACTTATATATTTGCACCAACTTACAGAGATAAAGTTATTAACTAATAAGTTTGAAAAATTGAAAATAGAGTTAGAGGTGAATAATTATAAAAATAAACAAAATCCACCGATCGTCTAGAAAAACTAACCAACGTGAGTTCCTATTATTATGTTTATTTATCTATGGTTCCTATCGAGTTACATCCGATGGCTTATAACTTTTTGAAATCGGTGCGGTCGTTTTTTAAAAAAAACGTTTATGAAAGATAAAAAATCGTATCACAAACACACACACAGCTTGATTTGAATAGTTGGGAAAATATAAATTTCTCTTACGGTATAAAAGATATTGAACTGTTTCTTACTTTATAGTATGAATCTGCCAAAGCCTAAACAAACAATATTAATAATCCCAGCAATAACATAATATGAAAGGCAAAGGCAATCATATTTTTTAACTTTCCGAAGGAGAAGTTTGCTTTCGTAAAAAAATCCAATTCGCTAATTTTATGTTTTCTCGACTTTTCAAATCATTCTGAATAGAATATCAAATTTGGAAAAAGTATGTGTGTGTGAACAGATTTTTTGTCGTAAATCGACGTTTTCTCAAAAACGGCTGGACCGATTTCAAAAATTTAAAAGCCATTCGATGCACCTCAATGGGGACTATT